CCCCACACCCACACCCACACCCTTCCGTGTCAATAATTATGTATTGTTTCTTTCATTCTACTTCTTCGAGCAACTCTGGGCATCAACAGGGGAATGAAGTCGGCTTTTTTCCAATTTCGATTGCGGGATTGAAATTGTTTTTAAGATAAGAAGCCCTGCCAAAGGATTAAAACCCATAAGCAAACAACATGTGGTGAATATATATAAAGAAGAAATAGAAAGAATATGTTTCAAACGTAGGAATAAAATTCAAATTTAACGTATGCTTTTTATTGGCTTCAATTCGTTCGAAACGAAAAGACAGACGCACAGTGAATCGCACAAAAAAATAACATGGTGGAGTTTTTGTAAAATCGTGAACAACTTTTCATTTCATCATCTTATTATATACAATTGTCTCCATTTTCATATTCACCAGCGACAACTTCGACGTTCATCTTTGACTTACAGGATGAGAAACTCGATAGTTGTAGCCATTTTCCTTTTCTGGTAATTTTATGGCAGACATAAATCCATTCTTAAAGTAAGTGCGTTGATAAGCGAATTTCTTTCCCAAAGATCTCTATCGATGCCTGATAATGTGAAACGCATTTTCTTGGCATAGATAAGGTTACACTGAACATCGTAAGTACAGAAGGTTGTTCAGATATTAAGATGCGAATAGGGATGCACGGTTTCAGTTTTTATCGGTTCCAAAGAACCGAAACCAATGGAACCGGGACCGGAACCGATAAGAGCCGATTGGAACCAGAACCGGAACCGATAAGAATCGGAACCGGTAAGAACCGAAACCGAAATCGATCAGACTCGGTTGCAACCGATGAGAACCGAAAGCAAAATCGATCCGATTCGGTTGAAATCTATAAGAATCGATGCTAAAACCGATAAGGACCCGTTGAAAACCATGGATGTGGGTGGGGTGGGTGGGTATAGGTGGGGTGGATGTCGGTGTGGGTGCGGGTGTGTGGGTGTGGGTGTTTTTCTTCTATTCGTCTTCCTGACACCCACACCCACCCACCTCCACCCACACCCACACCCACACCCACACCCACACCCACCCACACCCACACCCACACCCCCCACACCCACACCCACACGCTCACCCACGCCCACACCCACACCCACACCCACACCTACACCCACACCCACACCCACACCTACATCCACACACACACCCACACCCACACCCACATCCACATCCACATACACACCCACACCCACACCCACACTCACACCCACACCCACATCTACACCCACACCCACACCCACACCCACATCCACACCGACACCCATCCACACCAGCACCGACACCCACACCCACCCAAAACTTGTGGCCCTTGGTATAGAGTGAGGAAATTCAACCATTGTCCTTCAATTGATAATCAGTGTGCTTTTTAGCCTTCCAATTTCTCTGTGTATAATTTCGATTGATTTCGGTCGATTCTGGTTTCTATTTCAACCGATTCTGATCAGTTTCAATCGATTCTTATTGGTTTCAACCGATTGCCACCGATTCTGATCAGTTCTAACTTTGGCTCTAACAGATTCTAGTCGGCTCCAGCATGAGATTCAATCAGTGCTTATCGGTCTCAGCGTGGTTTTCAACCGATTCTTATCGGTTTCAGCATCGATTCTTATAGATTTCAACCGATTCTGATCGGTTTCGGTTCTTATCGGTTCCGATTCCGGTTGCAATCGGTTCCATCGGTTTCGGTTCTAAAACCGGAACCGATGCATCCCTAGATACGAATGTCTGAATAGTACAAGTAGAAAAAAACGATGAGAGCAACTATGATAAAGGTCTTCGTCGCGCAAAAGACGTTACGATCTGTCTTTCTACAATTGTTGTGGAGTTGCATTTGTAATACATTTCTTAATCGAGATGCAGTAAATCTCAATAAGAAATTATTGTATTTGAATTTGTTGTAGATGGAAATAAATCCATTCGAAGAAGGCTTTAGGCTGGCCATGCTCAATCTATGCTCATAATCAAATAGTCAGTTTTCACGGATTATGGCTAATAGTAGTGGTTCTTTACCACCATACTCTATCGTGCCGAAAAAACTGGGGAATGACTCTTCAGCAACAACGAGTCCAATTTTACCTAATGCGGCGCGAACACCAATAAAAGTCAAACTAAAAATTGATAGTTCGTCGAAAAACAACAGTAGTGCATACAGACAAGTTCTGGAGACAT